TGTGTGTGTGTGTGTGTGTGTGGGTGTGTGTGTGTGAGAGAGAGAGAGAGAGAGAGAGAGAGAGAGACATTTCAGTAAAATTTTATTTATGTGATTATTTTTCTGGGCAGGCACATAAATCCTTCAAATCAGAAAGAGCAGCATTCCATGGAAATGAGAGACGGTAATATATTTTCTTGCTTTCTTAATATTCTGTGAGTGCTCTAATGGGTTACTAATCCATACTTAAGGAGATTGTACAAAATAGAATTGTCTCTGCAGTAGTCTTTTGCAGCCTGTAGCCTGAGATCTAAAAATGTTCAAGATCCTATTTAACCACGTTTTCTAAGCCGCGTGCATGCGTGCAAGCCACACTCACGAGCAAAGCACATGCACGGAAGGCCACACACATGCACGGAAGGCGCGCACAATCACAGTTTTGGTGTGCGGCGAACCGGTGGTAAAATTATATGAAACCCACCTCGCAGTGTCATGCTGTCAGAAAGGATCTCACAGAACATACAGTTCAAATCTCTGCCCAACGCAGAAATCTTCATAACATCCCAAGCAAAAAAAAACCAAAAACCTGCCCAACCTTTCTCTGAGGATGCACATTAAGGATTCCAGGAAGCAGGCTGTTTCATTGTTTATGTAAGAAACATATATCATAACTCTTATTCTAAGCAATTTAAAGAAACCAATGAAAACAAGGCACCAGACCAATAATTCTAGTAGTCTCCTGACTCAGTCCCCATTCTAACCCAATATTAGAAGGGGAAGAGTCAGATCTGGAAAGCTAAAAGAGTAGGGACCCCATGAATCTCAGGTAAGAATCTATTCTAAAGAGCTGAGACAGTTACCGAAAAGGCATATCTCCAAGGTCATAGCATTTAAGAGAAGGGGCTTAGAGTCCACTTACCCTATCTGACCAAGTGGGAAGGAAAGATTAAAAACTCAGACACATGGCATGTAAGGCTTGAAAGGCGATAACCAGCATGTTGAAATTCATAATGCAAATTCTGGTCAACTTAAATACTTCATCAATTTTGGGAGCTATCCTTTTAAAAGGGGAGGGGCATATCAAGCTAAAATTCAAAGAAATTTCCTTTTTTAACACTCTTTCTTCCATTGTTGTTATTGTATCAAATGTGCATTAGGAATAATAATAATAATAATAATAATAATAATAATAATAATAATAATAACAACAATAATAATAATAATAATAACAACAACAACAACAGTTGAAGAAGAAA